ATTTTTTCAGATCGCAGTGGACCGGAACGCAGGCATTGTTGTGCCATGCGTTTTGATGCCAGCGATCGCACTGCAGGCAGGGTGCCATTTACTTCAATGCACCGCCAAACCCCCTCCTGCCCCGACCGCAGGAATCTGGCCGGGATGCAATACAGTGCGTTCTAGCAGCTAACCGCGTTGGACCGCACTGTATATGGTATGAACAAGGCCTGAAGGAGAACTTTCGAGACAAGAGTGACTTTTTTTTTTTTTTTTTATTGTTTATCCGATTAATCGAACTTAATAATCGGCTAACTAATCGATTTTGAAAATAATCGTTAGCTGCAGCTCTAGTCAGAAACCTTCCACCCAGACCCTGGGAACAATGAGGATGCCAAATCCTGTACATACCCTGCACTGAAACATCAACTCAAGATACCCAGCAACCCACATGATCTTCCCAAAAATATAGGGATGCCACCACCTGCAGCTTCCCCTACATTAGACACGAGGATGCTGAGGGACCTTCCACCAAGCTGAACAAAGGTCTATAGAACCCGTGTTAGATGTGACGTCAGCAGTCCATAGACCACCACAGTGCAGGTGAGAAGAGGCTGTGGGGACTGATCTAGCGGCCCAGAGGGAGCAGGGATCAGGTGAGTAAACCTGCTTCACTCCAGTCCTAGACAAAAACAAGCACTTAACCCTCGCAGTGCAGGGTTACTTTACCCAGAGATGGCTTTTAACTTTTATACCCCAAAAGGAATGTTTTTGTACATCAAGTATATGGCGATCTAACAAGAGGACGAGGCCCTGATGTAAAGAGCGGCCCTTGTGTTCTCCTGCAAGATCTGCTTTCATCGCAGGTCTGCACACTTTTCTTCGCAGGGCCCCGTTCCTAGTCATGGAAGGATATATGAAAGTGGTCACCGATGAGCTCATTCTGAAAACATGTTTGAGTCACTTGGAACAGGCATGTAGCAAGCAAAGTCACAACTTCATCCGCATACTCATTTCAGGTCAGCAACTCAAATACAGAAGCTGCAGGATCATCATGACAGCCAGACAGCTTCCATTTTCAAAAGACAATTGCAGCAGCTCTAATATTGCTCTCACTACAGGATTCCCTCCAACTCCTGATGCAGGCTCTATAACCCACCCTCGCTTTGCTAATGGCTGGTGAGCCTACCCATCACAACAAACCAACAAAAACTTAGTAAGAAAAGTGCCAATGTCAGAAAAAGTTGCAATTTGGGGGACAAGGCACCCTGGATTATGAGGTTCCCTTTACAGAGGGGAAGGCACAAACCTGTAGAACATTTACACAGTATTACACACCATAAGGCAACCTACAGCTTCCATGTTAGAGGTCATCCCCTTCACACTTAGGCTGGGTTCAGACCTGGGCGCACGGAATGTTTCCGAGGGCTATCAAGCTGTATCCTAATGGACCCTAATAGATACGCGCAGCAAATACGCCCCAAAGAAGCTCCTGTACTTATTTGAGCGTAGGACGTTTTTAAAAGGTCCTTCCTACGCGCTGTAAAACGCCCAGAAGGGAACCATGCACATAGGCAATCATTGGTTTTCACATGTTGAGCGTTTCACATCGCGTAGGAACGCGCTGTAAAGCACCCAGGTGTGAACCAGGCCTAACACCCTCCTTGGACATCACCCCCAACTTGTATCAGCATGGAAGCCAAGACTTTGAAGAGTCCTGAGAAGACCACTTATTGCCAAACAGTATGGAACAGGGGTGGTAGGTAAACTAATTTATTTATAAACAGGGTATGTGGCTCTGGTTAGGTCAAGGCAGGACAAATCCCAGAAGCCAGGCCGTCAATGCTCCTTAAAAACGACAGCTGGCACCTAAATTTTGACGTTATCAAATGGGTGTGAATGCAACTGCCTCCTTGGAAAAAAAAAAGCCACAGGTCCCTGGGTTGGACAGACTAGCTCCTGAAATCCATATTTGAACGTCCATGTCTGGATTAGGCATCATGTGACCAGGTATTGGCACCACATAACATGAATCGGAACCTAGAAGAACTTTCACCCATCACACAGATTGATATTATCTAGTTATCAATGCAGCTGCCACTTTAACAAATGCTGTATGCTCCTGGGTTGGACAGACTGGCTCCTGAAATCCATATTTGTTTGTCCAAACCTGGGTTAGGTGGTAAGTGGCAAGGTACTGCCACCACAGAATATGGATAGGAACCCAGAAGAACCTTCCCATCACGCAGACTATTGATGTTCTCTAGTTGTTGTCAATGCAGTTGCCTGAAATCCATATTTGCTTGCTGTCCCCCCACCCCGGGTGAGGTGCTATGTGACAAAGTATTGCCACCACAGAATATGGATTGGAACCCAGAAGAACCTTCACCCATCAAAAAGACTATTCTGCACAAGGCCAAAGATGTCCCCTCACTACGAGACAGTAATGGAGCATTCTTCAATCATGCCCTAAAGAAAAAATAAAACTTGATTAAAGTATTTTCCTAAATTGCTCAGCCACACGGTTTAACGCACAAGCCATTGTTTTGTGCAATGCCATCTTTCAGTTCCTGGCAGTGGCCGTTGGGGGCTGAATAATAGGGCCACAGTAGACTTTAAAGTGTCACTAAACTCAAGCTTTAATTCATAAAAATACATTCAAGTACCCTAGCCATTAATAATGTATCTCATCTGTGTATCAGTCGGCTGTAAATCCTCAAATCTCTGAATTGGTGCTGACACTGTCCTTCCTTCTGGGGGGGGGGCTACTTCTGTTCCCCATGGTCCCTGTGTGTGTTGTAAAGTAGCCACCGCTCCAAGCTCACTCCTGTAATTGACTACAATCTCACTACAAATTAGTAAACTAAACTTGAGATTGTAGTCCATTACAGGAGTGAGCTTGGAGCGGTGGATACTTTACAACACACACACAGGGACCATGGGGAACAAAAGTAGCCACCCTCCAGAAGGAAGGACAGCGTCAGCACCAATTCAGAGAGGATTTACAGCCGAGTGATACACAAAACAAGATACATGTTAAAAAGGTACTTGAATGTAATTTTAAGATTTAACTCATGAGTTTAGTCACTTTAACATAAGACAGACAGAGCACATTCGATGAGATCTGTCTTACCTTCTTATTTGTCATAGAAGGTCCAGTTTAATGCAGGCCCCCTGAACACCCAAAACAGATACCACTTGAAAAGAGATCACCCAGAAAATAAAAAAAATACTTGTGCCCATCCTCAAACGCTTCGGGGGGCATCATGGTGCCTTGCTGTAGAGCTGTGAGCACCAAATCCTGCAAGAATTCCCTCCAGCCCATTGCTGAAATGACTTCTGCTCGGCCTCTGACGCATCACGGAGACACGGGAGAGGTTGCAATGGCTTTCTGCGGAGCTCGGACATCAACAGCCTGCAAGAACACAGGATATCAAGCTTCCTGCTCTGCAGAAAGGCATTGCAATTCAGGGGCAGAAGTCGTTTTTTGTTTTCCAGGGCGACCTGTTCACAAATAGCCATTTGTACTGGGAGGTAAAAAAAAAAAAATTGGACCTTCAGTTTGGCATGAAAGGTCCACTTTACAGGCTAGTCCACATCACGCACAGGGAGTTTGTGTTATTCTGCTCAGCAGACTGACAGGTTAACACCATAGGGTGGGTCAACTGATACCCGGTTTCCCGTTTGAAGCCGCTAAGAAAAACGTGTGAAAGTATTTATCAAAATCGACCTCCTTACAGATCAGATGAATTTCCAAAAGTGACGGCCCATCGCCAGAGCCCAGATTTGTTTGGCAGAAGTGATCTTCCAGCAACGTTCCATAGACAGTATAGTTGCAGGCGGCGGTTCCGATCACTTTGGTTATGTGGCTGCAGACGCGTGGCCATTCCATTAATCGCTACTTAAAAAAACTATACAACTATAGACAGCTGCTGGGGCCCAGACCTGCAGCCAGGGGCCCTAGTCAATGGTCAACAACCGGCCATTCCATTACTTTCTTCATTGTCATATACACAGTTACAGGAGGCCAAACTTACGGCCAGGGTACCACCAAAAACAGGCCATTCCATTATTTACTGTACACAGATAGAGGGGGACCAGACGCACGGCCAGCATTAGGCAGGGGCCCCGAATGCCTGGCCAGCAACAGGCCACTCAATTTCATTTTTGACCATACAAAGCTGCCCAGCTGCAGGGGCCCATACACAGCAAGGAACAGGCCATTACATTTCTTACTGTACACAGTCCAAAGGCCCCGGAAGCACAACCATCAATGGGCACCCCATCAGACGCAGTCACCCATCACACGCACAGCCATGCAGGGGTCCCCCCTCCCGGAAGCACGGCCAGCAACAGGCAGGGGGCCCCCCCCAGGAAGCAAAGCCAGCAGTAGGCAGGGGGGCCCCCCCAGGAAGCAAAGCCAGCAGTAGGCAGGGGGCCCCCCCCAGGAAGCAAAGCCAGCAGTAGGCAGGGGGCCCCCCCCAGAAGCACGGCCAGCAATAGGCAGGGGGCCCCCCAGCAAAAGGCAGGAATGGAGAGATGGGATAAATAAAATAACGGGTTAGAGAACAATAAATGACACACAGCAAGGCTCAGGATGCATGCATAGAACACAACAAGAAGCCCATAGAGAACCATTCCAATAATTACTATACACAGCTGCCCAGCCCTTCCCCCCCCATGTCATAATAAACATAATAATACCTCATACACATCTGTAACACGGGCCCGCCCCCCTATATAAATATATTCCAGCACACTGAGGAGCTGATAAAACATAGGGAATTGCCGGCCACTGGCGATCCCGCCAAGTTTCAGGCCCAGCCAACCCCTCCTCCTCCTCCCCTGGAAGATGGAGCCGCCGCTGAAGGGCCCGGGTTTCCCCCCTCCCCCGCTCTCTGAGCACGGACACCGCCGGCACAGACAAACAGACACACACACACACACACACACACACACACACACACATAGGAGACACGAGCAGGACAAGTGGCGGGAAAGAAGAAGAGAGAAGAAGTGACCTGTATGTCGCATCCTTATGTGCGCGCTGAGGTGAGAGCTGCTGCCGCTGCTGCTTCTGGCTGGCTGGCAATCAATGGAGAGAAGACAGGCACACGGCAAGTCTAAGCTCCTCCCCCTCCGTCCTAGAGGGCACGCCCCACGGAGGCTCCAGTCACGCCCACCCTTCCTCGGCTGCCCGCGGGAAAATTCCCGCTTGCTGATTGGCCGGCCGGCCGGGGCCGAGAGACGGCCGCGCGGCCGGAGCATTTTCAAACGTAACGTTTGCAGAGCGTGACGTCGTTGGAGGAGGAGGGCACGGCGGGCAGCGCCGAGTGCCAGCTGGAGGGGAGCCCGTGTGTGCCCGGTGACCGAAGGGCCTCATAGAACGAACTGAGCGGGTTTCCCTGCCTGTCCCCCCAGGCATGTCCTTGTCATGTATAAGTTGTACGGGCCGTTATTAACTAGTATTCCAGAATGTCTCAAAACTGGAGCAGCTTTGCACGGCAACCAATCAGCTTCTTTCTTTCATTTTCAAAGTCTAACTGAACAAACTGGAGATAATCGGATTGGTTGCCCTGGGCCCTTTACCGTCTGCTCTAGTTTTGATAAATTCCCCCATAATGTCCCTTTTATCTGCACGCGTAGCATCGGAACACTTTTGGAATCCGTCTATAATAAGGCCCCATTCACACTTGAACATAGCAGGCACGCGTGGTGCGTTGAAACGTGTTTGCGCATTTCCTGTGTGTCCCCATTGATTTCACGGAAAATTAGTGTATGTAGCAAAATCTGCAACATACGTTCTGTGGGGGGAGGGGGGTGTTTCTCCACCTTTTTGTGTTTTAACACGTGCAAACGGGAAGGAAAACCTGGGGGTTTTGTCATGCGCTTCCCAAAGCGCAGCAACGATGAACATGAGAACTCCCATAATTTTCAATGGAGACCGTTAACACCTGAGCGTTTGGGCCCGTTCACACCAGTTGCAGTGCGTTCCCGGCCCGATTCTGGCCAGAACGCACTGCCTCGCATTGCGGCAGGCTCACTTTTTCATGGGGAAGGAGGGGGTGTGGCATGCCATTGAAGGGAATGGCACCGTAGCCACGCCCTCCTGCCGCAATGGGATCGCAAGGCTGCAAGCACTATTTTGATTGCACCGGACCACAGGCACAAAGTGCCGGGCGATCGCATTGCGGCTGTAGGGCGTGGCTACGGTGCCATTCTCTTCAATGGCCCGCCACGCCCCCTCCTGCCCCACTAAAAAGTGAGCCGGCCGCAATGCGAGGCAGTGCGTTCGGGCCGAAACACGCACTGCACCTGGCGTACGTTTGCGGCACGCATCAGCCCAATCATTTCAATTTGCTGCCCAGAGAAGTATCTACCACAAGGCAAACTACGTGTTTGCCTTGGGCGGCACTTTCCAGGGGAGGCGGCACTATCCAGCAATGGACAGGTTATGCAAAATGTATTAAACAGGAAGGGAGAAATTGGGGCGGTGCCTGAGTTTAGTCTTGCCTAGGGCATCACAAAATCTAAATGCCGCATTGGTGACAATCAGGGCAAATACGCTTATGCAGAAGTTTCAGCTGCAAGCTTCATGCGGTTTTTGACCACGTGTTTGTCCTGCGTCTTTGCCCTCACGTTTTACCGGCCGCGTTTGTGGTGCCATTAACAAGTCATGGCACCACAATCACATCACATGTTTTTAGCACATTGCTTGAATGCGTGCCAATGCAACACAGAAGTGTGATTGGGGAGATACAAATACATGAGCTTTTTTGTTTTATCAGGCTGCATGGCTCAGTTCTGAGACTCGTAGACGTCAATGACAGCGCCTGAAAGCCGCATTTATTTCACACGTTACAACCGTTTCCTCCTGGTAACTGACTTTCTATCGGTTAAATCAAAAACACTGAAACCTGAACAACACGTGGAAAAAAAAGCTTCAAAATCACCTGGAAACACTTACCGTAAGTGTGAATAGGCCTCGTCATTAACGTGGGCAGAAAAATGACCGCTTTTAGATACATTTTTTGTATCCTACGTCTCTGAACACAGCTCTATTTTCAGCCAATGTGCCCATGTACATTGTGGAGCTTAGACCCGTATTTTGGAGCAGCATTCAGCGGAATAAAAAAACATTTGGAGAAGAGCTCACCTCTAAACACCATACGCGCATAAACACAAGAAATTACGTGCCAAATATGCATTCTTTATACTGGATTTTCTTGCAGAAAGATCCGGCGTAGATGGGAGTATTTTAATAGGCCTGTTTGCATGAGCCCTAAACCGGGGCCAAAGTGAAAAATTAACATTAGATCTGCTGGTCAGATTCCAGGGGTGAAGACTGGATCTCAGGGTGGAGACCGGATCTCTGGGGTAAATACCAGATTCCCAAAAGCCAGATACTAGGGGAAGAACAGATCTCCGCACGAAGACTGGGTCTCAGGAGTGAAGACCAAATCCCAAGGATAAAGACCCAATCCCACCGGGAAGACCAGATCTCGGGTGGATGACGCATTCCAGAGTTGATAGATTGAATCTCGGGGAAAGCCAGATACCATGGGAAGACCAAATCTCAGGAGTGAAGACCAGATCTTAGTGGTGAAGACCAAATCCCAGGGGGAAGACCAGATCTCTAGGGTGAAGATCAGATCTCAGGAGTGAAGACCAAACCCTAGGGGTAAAGACCCAATCCCAGGGGGAAGACCAGATTCCGGGGGGAGAATGGATCCCAGGGGTGAAGACCAGATCTCAGGGGGGAAGACGAGCTCAGGAGTGAAGACTGGATCTTAAGGGTGAAGACCAGATCCCAGGGGGAAGACCAGATCTTTTAAGTGACAACCAAATTCCAGGGGGAAGACCGCATCCCTGGGGTGAAGACAGGATTCTAGACAGGAAGACCGGATCCTAGGGGGGAAAGTCAGATACCGGGGGAAAACCATATCTCGGAAGTGAAGACTGGATCTCAGGGGTAAAGTCCAGATCCCAGATGCAAAGTACCAATCCCAGGGGGAAGACCGGATCTCTGGGGTGAAGACCAGATTCCGGGGAACAGGGTTAAAAGCATGTGATACTTTGTCCCTCAGTGACGTAGACACTCCAGGGGGTTGATCGCTATGTCATCCTCGTCAAGGCAAGGAGTTAGGAAGTAGCAGGATGCACCAAAATGAAAGGTATTAAATCTGTTATTGTGTAAGGGATGAGAGAAAGTCCATTTTATGTTGAAGGCCCGCTTTACTCATACTGGGCAGTCGTTACATTGTATGTGTGGTCAAAATTTACAGTCCTATTTTTATCTTCACATCAAGTTTCAATTATTTCAAGCCTGCTATGAATCTGGATGATTTTGCAGTTTAAAAATTTACTTTTTGAAGAATTTACTTCCTTGAATGCAGTGACACATTAATACTGCCTTGTGTATATGCACTGTGATGTGTCACCCATTTCACAGAGCCTACTGTCTGAACTACAACTATATGTCTGGCCATTCTGAAGAGGAGGAGTTTCAGGGGTTTAGTCAGTGCAGGAAACACACCACATGTACATATTATAACGGTTTGCGGGCAGCAAGGTATCATGGGATATGTACTTGAAATTGAAAGTAAACCAAAGGAAGGGTCAGAGATGAAGCTGCAAAGTATGCAGGGAATCCAGAAAGTTGTTGAAAGAAATGGCCAGAGGACAGGCAGCATCACACAATGAAAGGAGACTTCAAGTAGACATACACTATATTGCCAAAATTATTGGGACGCCTGCCTTTACACGCACATGAACTTTAATGGCATCCCAGTCTTAGTACGTAGGGTTCACTATTGAGTTGGCCCACCCATTGCAGCTATGACAGCTTCAACTCTTCTGAGAAGACGTCCACAAGGTTTAGGAGTGTGTCTATGGGAATGTTTCACCATTCTTCCAGAAGCACATTTGTGAGGTCAGGTACTGATGTTGGAGGAGAAAGCTGTGCTCGCAGTCTCCGCTCTAATTCATCCCAAAGGTGTTCTATCGGGTTGAGGTCAGGACTCTGTGCAGACCTGTCAAGTTCCTCCACCCCAAACTCACTCATCCATGTCTTTATGGACCCGGCTTTGTGCACTGGTGCGCAGTCATGTTGGAAAAGGGAAGGGGCCATCCCCAAAATTGTCCAAAATGTCTTGGTATGCTGATGCCTTAAGAGTTCCCTTCACTGGAACTAAGGGGGCCAAGCCCAACCCCTGAAAAACAACCCCACACCCTAATCCCCCCTCCACCAAACTTTACACTTGGCACAATGCAGTGAGGCAAGTACCGTTCTCCTGGCAACCGCCAAACCCAGACACGCCCATCGGATTGTCAGACAGAGAAGCGTGATTCGTCGCTCCAGAGAACACGTCTCCACTTCTCTAGAGTTCAGTGGCGTCGTGCTTTACACCACTGCATCTGACGCTTTGCATTGCACTTGGTGATGTACGGCTTGGGTGCAGCTGCTCGGCCGTGGAAACCCATTCCATGAAGCTCCCTACGCACTGTTGTTGTGCCAATCTGAAGGCCGCATGAAGTTTGGAGGTCTGTAGCTATTGACTCTGCAGACAGTTGGCGACTTCTGTGCACAGTGCGCTTCAGCATGCGCTGACCCCGCTCTGTCATTTTACATGGCCTACCACTTCGTGGCTGAGTTGCTGTTGTTACCAGTTGCTTCCACTCTGTTATTATACCACTA